TATGCAGCATTCCAGTTACACGATTGTGTTTCTGTCAAATCGGTCGACTCTAGCGTGACCACAAAACATCAAAGGAGCCGCCGTTTCTGTCGCTTCTCGTTGGTATAGTGTTCTCTGCCTTTATATCGATTTTTCTGGCAGATGCTATTCATTTGAAATCAGCTGATTGCACACCAGTCAAGTATAACAGCAACACAAAATACATTCCAAACGAGTTAATGGTGTAGACAGAGAAGTTAATGGTAGTTAGCACATGTACTAACGGTACCTACGTACTAAAGCGAAGCATTGAACTATAACGGTTGGATTAGATATACATACTTTTTTAATACCCAAATCATTAGTGACCCACTTAAAAGTTTGAGAACGTTTGGCGCCTATATAGGTAAGTCAAGTAATGTTTAAGCGTTATTATTACTTTTATTTTTTAGTAAATAATTTTAATCTGTGTAATGCAATTAATTTGGGAAATTTGTATACAATTACGTAAGTTAAAAAACGTTTCCAAATTTCCCGCCACTATAGTTCGAATGAAAATTGATTTGAATTTTGTCTACAATTTACCGTGAAATTTTAGATGCACTGAAAAAGTATTTGTGTTTGTAGCGCTACCATTATTAATATTAATAAATTCATTAAAATAAACTGAAAACTCCATTAAAATACATTGGAAAATTATAGAAAGAATAGGTCGAATATAAAAATAAATTACTTAGGTCATAAATTATCGCTAAGTCTACACTTTCTTTTTATTTTGAGCTCTATAAACATGCGAAACATGTTCGTTAATCATATAATTTTCATGCTTAAATACATGTGCTGCCGAGCCAACTTTTACGGTTAAATTAAACTCACTTCAACCTAAAAAACGTTTTAATTTTAAGCTAATTCTTATGCACACACAGATATCAGTAAAGTATTTTATCAGCATGCGTATTTTTAATTGTCGTATAAGTGTATCAAGTATGTTTTATATAATTATATGATTGTAAATGAAGGTAATGCCTCAAGATACGCATTGTGATTTTATATTATTTTTAATAAAAGTTCTGACGTTTTTTTAATTAACTTCGTATTGAAATATAGGATAGGAAGAAACACGTGATTTTTATTCAAGGATCTAAATCAATTTTTCATTAAATATGTATGCATCTATAATAGGTACCTATTTTATTTATTTGGGTGGCCCAAAAAAAACAATTTTTTTTTTCGTGTCTCGTAAATATGTTAGTTTATCATGTTTTAAGAGCCCCCTCAACAAATCAGCTTAAACATTTTTTTAGAGGTCACAAGATTTTTAAATATTTCCAAAATCGTCAAAATAGATTTTTTTTTAATTTTTTTTTCTCGTTATTTTATCACTAGGTTGAAAAAAATATCAATTCTGAAAATTTCATATCGATATTTTAATTTCTCCCTCATAATTATTTTGACTTTCAACCCTTAGAAATTAAAATATCGATTTGAAATTATCAGAATCGAGATTTTTTTCAATATAGAAAATGATAAAATAACGAGAAAAAAATAAAATTTTTGACGATTTTGGAAATTTTTAAGTCGTGAACGACCTCTAAAAAAATTTTTTTTGAGCTGATTTTTTGAGGGGGCTCTTAAAACATGATAAACTAACATATTTTCGCAAGAGACACGAAAAACAAATATTCGGTTTTTTGGGCCACCCTAATGTTTAAGATACCTGCATACATATATTTCTTCAATTTGCTCTACCCTATCTACCACTAACGTCTATTTAACCCTGGTGTCGTTAACAAGGTCAAAAACATCTAGAACAACAAAGGAAATGGGCAGTTTAATAAGTAGTAATTTTATCCTTATAAATTTTGTCAGTTTATGGCTTGTTTGTGAGGTGGGTAACGAATTTTTTCAGTTTATTTTAAATTTTATGCATAAATAGGATTGCAATACAATACAGCTGAAGGAACCAATTAATTGAGTGCTTATTTCTTTTAATTGAAGTTATATTTTTTAAAATTTATATTTTTTTATTAAATTTGATTTACAGACGGAAATTCTACGCGTTTGCTTTTTTTAATATTTTTCTCCACCACCAAATTGCAAACATGACTTATACTTTTGGTTTTTAAATTCTATTTTTGCTTATTGGAAGATTTTGACAAGGTAATTTTTTCGTAAATCTGTTACTTTAACAGAGTATACGGATTTGTGAAAAGGTCGCTAGGCGAAAAAATTAAGTTTTACAAAAACGTTTGCCTCTCCCGCATATTTACGGCAATGATAGGTGTACCTAACTAAAATATTCAAAATTAGAAAAGTGGAAATTAAAATTATTGAGATGTTTAGCTTTTCAGTTTTTCAATATCAGAAATTTTTCTCAATAACATTTTATTATATCAAATACAAATATGACACTTTAATGTAAAAACAATTAGATTTTTCTAAACATCCAAGGCCTACTGAATTTTATGGATATTAATCATCTCCGAAGGACATTTTTCTACGCCAATGTTTTTGTCTCTTGAGAGTTATTTCATCTATAATACCATTTACCATGGGCGTAGCCAAGGGGACAGGAGGGGCCGCGGAAGTTTCAGAAAGGGTTTAAGTTTTGAAATTTTATATCGGTAGGTCGCTGCATGATTGCGTGACTTTTTTAGAATGAAACGAAAAAGTCTTTAGGTTTTAAAGTGCGTGCGATTTTTTTTTCTTAGAGGCTTCCATAAATCTTGCAGCCCTTAGGTTGGCATCCTTAAAGTTTCTATGCTTCTCCTGAGGCATCTTATTTTTTCAAAAAAACTACCGTTTTTGTGAATAAGTTAATTTATTTCCTGTATTTACAATTGAACAGCACAATACAGGGTATCCTAGAAATAAGTGCTAAAATTTTAACCACGTGTTTATTCATCAAAGGCAAGCACCATTCTTGTCTAATAATTTTTTTGAAATTCACTTTTTTAAGATATTTTGTGTGATTATAATGATTCATTGTGGGAAATTCCCATTTTTATGCTTGTTTTTGTTTATTATATAACTCAAAGTTTTAACCTGTGCTCCAGTGGCGGGTTACACAAATTTAACTTTTAGAATAATATATCAAAACTAAGAGGTTTCTGGAAAAAAAAATATTAGACAAAAGTTGATGCTTTTGACAATGTATGGTTAATATGTACTTAGGCACTTATTTTTGGAACACCCTGTATATTGGAGGATTGTAATATTTTTTTGTGAACCTATACCTTTTAAGCCATACAGGGTGTCGCACCACGAACTCCATCGATGGATATCTGGGAAACCGCTCTAACGATTTTTTTGAAATTGTGATGGTGTGATACGGACCGTGGGGCTAAAATATTTTCAAGGTCATCGTACTTCCGGTTATACCGGAAGTCAATACTAACTTTCTTATTTTAAATGGAACCCCCTGTATATTATTGCATTTTGGGAAAGATAATCTATTTCTAAGTTGAAAACATATAGCACACACTCCATACTTGGGATAGACCGTTTCCGAAATATTTTGATTTTTAAGCAAAATTTGACAGATGCACTGTCAACAAAATTTAGTTTTTCCGGAAAAATAGGTTTATTTGTTTGTTCAAATTGGACATTTTGTAAAGGAAGACCTAATTTGAATCAAATTTGAGATGAAAATTTTCCAGTTTTTATACAGGGTGGTCAAATAAAAATGATCGAATATGAAGTCCAGAAAATGTGGAAAACTTGAAATTTTTAAATGGAAACCCCTAATTTTTAAATTTTCAACTTAAAAATAGATGCTTTTTCTGAAAATGCAATAATATATAGGGGGTTCAATTTAAAATAAGAAAGTTAGTTTGGACTTCCGGTATAACCGGAAAAAATCGTTCGAGCGGTTTCCCAGATATCCATCGATGGACTTCGTGGCAGGACACCTTGTATATATTTTTTGAGAATTGTTTATTGCCTTTTTTTTAAGTTTCATTTTGTTACTAATTATTAGAATTTTAACAAGCATTTTTGATGTAACAATAAGCTGTAGGACTTCAACCAAAACATACTCATTATTTCCTATTTTTATTTTCTGTAGACTTACCAGGATGATAATATTTTTTGGGACCCCCCTCGTTGACATAATAGCGAAGGTCGACCACAGCTTCCTTGAAAAATACAACCTAAAACCAGACGACGCTGTCAGAGCTACCCCTGAAGTGGAGGGTATTTTCGAAGAAATCCTGAACTATAATCCCATCATACAGCCTGGAGGTAGTGTTACCAACACAGCGAGGGTCTTCCAGTGGACTAGCAAAAAATCCTACCCCATGCTGTTCATCGGAATTCTAGGTGACGATGAATACGGCAAAATCATTAAGGATAAGTTTGTCGAGGAGGAAATTACATGCTATTTAACTGAAATTAAGCGTCATAAGACAGGGATATGTGCTGTGCTTCCGACTGAAGACTACAGGTCGTTGGTAACACATCTAGGGGCGTCGCACCTTTTCTCGTTCGACGATGTAGATGACGGTCTGTGGGACGAAGTAGCAAAGGCGAAATATTTGTACTTGTCTGTTAGTATAATATTTTCTTAGGTGTGCAAATGAAAATACCGTTTAAGGTAAACACTGGCCTAAAAATCACCCCCTAGTTACAGTCGAATCTATAGAATTATCCTATACATTTAAAAAGTGTTTTTACCATGAACAACATTCTGTAAAATTTCAACAATGGAACATGGGGTGTTTGGAAATTGTTGAGAAAAAACATAAATAATAAGTGGACTCGGAACAGCCTGTATCACAAAAAAATAAACGTAATAGTAACACATCAATATTTTTTCATAATCTACCATTTCCAAAAGTTTTTAAAAAATCGACCACCAAATGTGTTTGGCTTTTTATATTACATTTTTTAATTCATCGTTACTAAAATACGAGTATATTTCTTCAAATTAAGTCCTTTACCATCCCATGAAATATGATTTAAATAACACCCTCTCCTATGTCTAAAAGATATTTTTGATTCGATCTGTTCCAGGCATTTCTTATTCGAGCAGGTTTTAAAAACATGCAAGTCCTCATAGAACACTTCTTGAAGAAACACGACTTTATAATATTAAATTTAGGAGCAAGTTTCCTCTGCGAAAAATACCCCAAGGAAATGACTTACCTTTTCAGGACCTCCAACATGGTTTTTGGAAACGAATCTGTAAGATTTAACTCAAACAATTTTCTACCACCCTTTCCAACGTGTTTTACTTTTAGGAGTACGTCGGACTTGCCAAAATTCTCCACATCCAAACCGGTGACGTCAAAGAGATGCTTGTAAGTTTAAATAAATATTTCCCCGATAAATCGTTACGGACGCTAGTTATGACGAGGGGAAGCAAATCGATTGTGATCTTAAGCAATAATAAAGTGGAAGAATTTGACACTGAGCATCTGGAAGAGGAGAAAATCGTCGATACAAATGGAGCCGGCGACGCCTTCGTGGGAGGATACCTGGCTCAGTTCGTCAGGAATAAAAGTATTTCGGAGAGCGTTAGGTGTGGTATTTGGGCCGCTAAGGAGATTATTCGCAATCACGGGTGTAATTTTGATAATAAAAAGGTTTACGATTTGTTGAGTCTTATTTGACGGTTAAACATGAAATGACAAACTCTTCAAGCTAAATGCTCTGTCCAGCACTGAATAGTGAGTAAATAGCTAAGATCTTTCGTTAACAGCATCACCAGACAGGTGAGGCGATGAACAATTGTTTTTTCTGTTTGGAGGTATATATCTTCCAACACGGTGTTTGAGTGTGGGAGAGATATAACCTACAAAATATGTGACACTTAACGTGTCCTTGGTACTCGATGCCTACTAGCACAATGCATTACTTTGTACCTACTGGCAAAGAAACTACTAACCTGTACGTACTAGGAAAGCATTACTTGTTTACCATAAACTTTTTAACTAATGATATTCTGGGAGTATTATATATTTTTCTCGCAATACCTTTGGTTAAAAAGTTTATTTCGCCTTGTGAGAAACAAGTCATGCTTTTATAGTATTTACAAATTAGTACGTCTAAGCAGTAGGTAAAAAATAATGGATTTTGCCAGTAGGCATGTTGAATATCAATGACATTTAAGACATGACATGTGCTTTGGATGTTATATCTCACCCGCAAACAAAACCATGTTTCTAGTGCTGAGAATCCATTCCATTTATTTGTGGAAAACTATGATTTTCATTTTGTTTAAGAGAAACTCAGTGGGAAAGTTAATTTTTTTCTCTGACGAGACAAAATTGTGATATTTTTTCTTAAAATCTAACTAAAGCCAAATTAAAACATTGTGGATTTTTTTTGACAGAATATGTTAGGATATTCCTAAATAAAAACAAGTTTAGTTGATATATTTATTCTTTTTTTGATTCAATACTTTCCTGAGACAATTCCCTTTTTCTCTTCCCTTGATTTTTTTTACTCTTCAAAATTTTTTGATCACCCACCCTAAAAAATATAATTTTCGACAAAAGCAAATATAATTTTTTTAATAATTCACAATTAAGTACTTACATAGCCGTTGCTCTAGATCCAGGACCCCAATGCGGCGACGGGTTCTCTTGAAACCTGAGAAAACCCATTTTCCTCGATTCAGGATTGGCATTCGGATGAATCTCGAAAGAATAGTCCTTTTCGGGTTGCTGCGCCAAAATGTTGAATACCGGCGTGTTCTCTATATGTCTCTTTTTAGAAATAGGATGTTTCTTTTCCCAACACCTCATAATATCCCAAATTACCTTAGCAGGAGCGTTGGTTTTTACAGATGTTTTGTTCATATGCGTAAACGACACTTTATAGCCCGCATTTAATATTGCAGATCTGCAATCAAAACTGCATTATTAATTTCGTCCAATGGTTTTAAAAAATTTATGCTACCTTAGAGCCAATATAGGAGGCATTTCAACGTGGATAACACCACTGAGACGCTCCAAAGTATAGTACAGTGGAACGTCCAAGAGTTCCTCGCCGATAACACTAAGAACACCTTGAATTCGTTTATAAGTGTTAAGATTTTCTGGAGCAGCCCTCAAAACTGCTTGTACAAATTCTGGAGAATGTAATGGAGCAGACCAGATAGGCCCACCAATCTGAAAATAATAAAAAAAAGGGTATGCAGAGTATTACGCTTGTGACAAACTCTTTTGTCCATATCTCCGTTACTATTAAAGATTTACTTATCGAACCTTATATCCTCTAATATCACCACATTCTATATTAAAAAAAGCACTGTTTTGAAATTGCAAGAAAATTCCCTAAAACTTCGATCCTACCATTTGTATGTTACATTGTTTACCGTAACTTCACTGTTAAATATTTTGTAACCGAACGCCGCTGTATTTATTTTAAAAGACAAACTTACATGATGTGGATGGCCACAGTGCTCACATTTCTGGGGTACCGAAGGTCCCGTCGGTAAACTAAATTTGACTTGTTTATTATTCTTGTCATTTGTCCTTAGAATCCCCAAAGGTTGCAATGCAAAACTATCACAGCCAGTGCAATGATATACATGAGACAATTTGCTGAAAAAGTTAATATTTTAAAAACACTTGACAACTGGGGTGCCTTCCCATTTACCTAGTTGTGAACTTGCATTTGTAAGCTCCAGAAAACACCCTAACGAAAACCCTCACATAAAAATCTGCCGATAAGGAGATTAGAGGTATTATATATCGCCCGTAACGATTTGCGTGTGCCTCGATACACTGTAATAAAATCCTGAGCGCCATCTCATGGCAGCTCTTTATCCTTAACGATACCGCTCCATATTTACTGTAGCAGGTCTCTGGAGAGTTTCCTGCTAGCACAGCCATATCGGTTGCAGTAATAAGTAACAGACCACCTTCTTTGACAGCTTGTACAGCAGAATCGAGGAAGACGGAAGGGCAACCGTAAGGATCTAGGTCTATCACATCAAACTGATTACCTTTACGATGTTGATACATTAACAAACTGAAATAAAAATGAAATATATCTTTGCATGTTTCCTAAAATGTACTTACGTAGCATCACTGTGACTCGGACTTACAATGTCTGCCACATTATTCTCTGCAATGTTTCTTTTTATGTCTTCTACAGCTTTATGACTAATATCATTAGCTATTATTTCCTTGATTCCGGGTATTTCTTTAGCATATCGTATGCTTCTTAAACCTGTTGCAGATAGAGCTTCTAAAATTGAAATTCCATCCTCACATTTAACTCCCGCCGTCGCAGTGTCATTTTTATAACTTGTAATAACATTAATATCATTAGGTTGCTTATCTGCCTTTTTAATTTTCTCTTCAGTGTAAAGTTTAGCGAATGTTGTTATAACTGAAATGCTGAAATTAGATTGTAATACAATGCCATCAAATAATATTCAATGCCAACCTCAAGTCTCTATTAAATTCTTGAACTGGGTTGTAAAAAACATTGCCAGCAGTCCGAATTTTAGCAAGACCCTCGGTAATTATTTGTGTTTCATTCTGATTATCTGTTTCCATCTGTCAAAACAAATAAAAATAACTGAAATAAAGTTGGGCTATATTTTTTTATTCGAAATATTTGTGTGCAATGATAAAACTAATAAAATAATTTTAATATATTGACTATTAATAAAAAATTAAGGAGTTAACTAGGAAAAATCTAAAATACGGCATAAGGTAACCTTACTTTTCCACGGATGTAAAATTTTGAGGTTAGTTTTCAAATCATAGAAAATCAAAACAAAGGAATATGAGCTTCTTTCCTTTTACATAAATCACAAAGAGTGTAGTGATATTTGAAATTGGAATCTTACACTAAAATGTTTGAGATACCAAAGGGTCTTTCATTTTGGCAAAAATAGTACCTATTAGCAACTGACATTAGTTCCGAGTAACTCTGAGTTGCTATTTACCGTTAATTTTGTTCCAGAAATTAAATTTTTACTTTTATCTAGTGCTATACACGTAATGATACACGTGCCATGGCACGAGTCGTGTGAATACGCCTGCTATATATATTTTTTTTTAGTGATGGGCTGTTCAGTGCGAACAGCCGAGCTGAGCGGACGTGCTTGTTTGTGAGGTGAAGTGATTGCA